ATCAGTAAATAAACAAGCTAACTCCAAATTCCTGTCAAAAACTTGACCATCAGAGTAAATTAGAGGCAAATGTTTTACAACAGATTTCTGGAACTCATAGTTTCCAGTGTTCACCTGTAGAGTTTCTTCTTGGCCTCTCGGCTTAGAGTCTCGGACGTGTCGAGGTCTCGGGTCTCCCCACTGCATGTCATCACCTAAGAAACGCAGAAATAAACACTTTTTTAAGAGGAGAGATCCTGTAATAGCGAGTAAATGTAAAAATGAAGCTGTCATCATTAGGCTAATTTCATAGGAAACTTTGGAAAAACTAAATATATGGAGGTAAACTGAAGAGACTCCTGATTTCATTCACTTCTAGTTTAATCCTTCCTCACCTTTATATCCTCCCCCTCCTCTCCCCCTGCCTCCACGCCCCCTCAGACCTCCGCCCCCGCCTCGCCGTCTCCCATCTGTCCGTCTGGGCAGGGACCCGCCTCCTACGAGCTCCTCAGTGGGAGCCAGGGACCAGTCGCTCAGCTCCTCCCTGTGATCGGACTCCGTCTCTGAAGCATTGGAAGCCTCTGAGTTGGTTCCTGTTCAGTTGGAATCCAGACATTAAACCAGGAAGTTTGGTAAAGTGGAGTGTTAAAAACGGGACGGACGTACCTGACGTGAACGGTGCCCCCCCACCTCTCCGGCCTCGTCCACCTCTTCCTCCTGCGTAGGGCTTTCCGCCTCCTCCTGCTCCTCTGCCCATCCCCATCCCATTATCAAACACATAGGATTTGTCTTTGGGGTTTCTGGGACCCGTTCCCCCTCCTCCGCCTCCCCCTCCTATCTGTCTCAGCTGCTCGTCAATCTGAAGGCGCTCCATGCGCAGCTGATCCACCTCCTACAGACACAGACACAAGAAAAGACATTAAAGTCCACATCAGGACACAATTCAGCGCTCCTTCTGCACAAACTGGCATTGATTTTGGAAGGCAGAGGCTCAATCACAAACCTTAAGGTAGTTGAGGTGATAGTCCAGGAGCACGGTGGCGTTGGAAATACTTTCCTTGGTCCCAACAAACACAAATGGCACCATTCCCTGAAAAAGATCAAACAGTTTTCATTAGATCCTGAGGTCTGGGACTAAAATGGGCATGAGTCAAAAAGGTGGAGACGTTTTTACACCGGCGCTGTAGAAACACACACTGTCCACCCCTTCCTGCAAAAGACGAGGATCAAAACATGAGCTGCTGCTGAAAAATACGACAACTACATCTGTGTATAACTAACCCAGAAGAAAAATGCAAGAGAAATTTTCACTTTCACAGACTTTAAAGAGCTGAAGGATGCTGATACGCTCAGTTCCTGCAGGGCCTCCTAGTGGCACTACTGCAACTTTAAAAGATCTGAAAATCTTTTAAATCCTAGAAGCGCAAGTAGGAACATTAGCTGTTTAAATATTAGCAATTAATTTATGGCCCCATTATGGGATTGGTTGGTATTAATATTAATGATGCATTTTTATCCGTCACTCAACAAGGCGTCCATTTCTGCCTCGGTTAAACTACACCTTTTCGCTCTCTTCCCTTCGGTTGCGAGTGGTTACCATGAAATAGCATCGATCAATTCGCTCATTTAAATGAACAGTGACATTGGTCCATGCAATGTCCAGTGAAGGGTGAAGTGGGCGGAGCTTTGGGAGCAAACTTTGACCTTCAGCTGTGATCCATAGAGGAAATTGCTTGGTTTTATAAATTAGGATTCTTTTTGACTTATGTACACTTTTAGAAAAAATAAATGAGATCCAATTGCTCCAATAACCTGTTTAGTTAGAAAGCAAGTAGAGACTTAAAACAAGTAATGGGAGGACTAATTAGAGCAGTAAAGAGTCTGACTTTGCAGCAATCTACCCTGCTTTCCTACTTTGATCGCCAAAGAAAATCTGATTTGATCATTTCAATGCAGTAGATCCAGTTTTACAAAACTACAAATCCATTACAGGGTTCCTACAGCATAAGGCAAGTTAAATCCAATACTTTTTAATACCACTTGAAATAAAAATTTAAGACCAAATTCACAAGAAACACAAGAAAAACCCTCTTGTGACAACTTAACCCAAAGGTTTATTTTAACATAAACCACTGCACTAATGTTTCAAGTTTTGAAAAGCTTCCCATACAGAAAGAAAGCTAAAAACACACAAATGACAGATATATTTTAACAATTATTTAACTGAATTCACAAACTTTGTTTTAGCGGGGAACAAAACAAATCAGTTTTAAAGCCACAACATAACCAGTGCTAAGTCACTGTGCCTCATGTATGTTCCCTGGTACTGGTTTTAGGCATGGAGAAAACTCTTGGTTGGATAGCCAGTTTTCATTACATTTACACTTGCTCATATTTTCCAGACAAAAAGTTAATGGTGCATCTCCCAAATGTCCGCTATCGGGACGGAACCAATAATGGCGAGCCGTTTTTTTGTTTTAATAATAAAAAATAAAAAAAATTGTCAAGTTTAACATTTTATTTAGATTACAAAAATAAATCGTAATAAAAATAATCTTATTTATGATGTTTTAAAAAAAATAAGACCTACAAAAGACTGATTTAAGACATTTTAATACCAATTAAGGCCTTAGTTTTATTTTTTAGAATTCAATGCCTTTTAAGACTTTTTAAGGACCCGCTGGAACCCTGCATTAGGATAGGTCAGAAAAATCCTTTATTAGTCCTTGCTGGAAAACAGATAATACAGAAAAACAGCAAAGTGGCACAGATGGATAAAAACAACAACAAAACAATTGAATTTAAGGCAGATACGTCCATCAAGGGGAACCAGGACATCGACTAGCTTTCATCTTTTCCATAGTTTTACCAAAGCTTTCAACTTTTACTAAGGTAATCACATAAAGCCCTGTTCTACTGTACAACATAAGGCCAATCTATGCTTCTGACACATAGCCTCTGCAACCATCAAATATGTCTCTGTGCGCGATCACTCCCCCCCTGCAGAGTTTCTGCAACCGTTGTCACGCACCACAAAAAAATCCTGACTACACGTCGTACGGTTGCAAACACAAGCAGACCTCAAGAAGAAGTGCGCAGACAAAAATCAGCTCTGATTGGTCCTTGGTATGCCTTTCTGGCTGTCTGTGTGGTTGTCTTTCTCGATTCGGTGTGGGCACACCATTTTTAAAAACCGAGAAACAATGGACAGCTACGACAAAAGGTTAATTGGTCTTTTTGCCAACTCCATTAACAGAACCTGTTACTCTTCCATGTCTAGCAACTCTAGATCCATCTATGTGGCCATGATATCTTGCAGACGCGCCATTGTTGTTTTGGAAGATAAGCACTCCCTCTGGCACCGCCGAAGTTCTCGTAACCATCCACCAACGTTCTGGCGAGTTCTCGAATAGGCTCCGCCTTGCGCTTTGGCGGGAAACTGCTGTTTGTCCCTAGAAATTCCAGACAGACGGTGCAGAAGCGTACCAGCAAAACTGGTTCGCCACCAGACCCAAGCGACATTTGATGTGTGAAGATGAAGAAGTCTAATCTTCCCTATATGTAGGTCCAACATTTCTCTTTGTGAGAACCTTAACCTGCATTCTGTTTGCTAGCCTCAGCTGCTCCGTAATCCAATTCTTTGCCTCTAGACGGCCTTCACCACTGACCTCATCTGCTGCCGCCGCCGCTGAGGGCTTTTTGTCGTTCTCCGGCTCGATTCGAACTCTGACCACACCAGATTTATCAACCACCTCCTGGATCAGCTTGCCGTTCTTCCCGATCACCTTTCCTACGGGGCGGGGAGAAGCCAGTCAGTGGAGAATCCAAGTGAGTCAAACTAACTATCTATGGATCTATGCTCACCGACTAAGTTCCGGGGAACCTTGATGACATCTTCGGAAAACTCCAGGTAAGTCCTGGCTATTCGGACAGCATCCTGGTCCTGGGATGACAGAAAAAAAACACGTCAATAGTTTTAGCATCAATTTTTATCACAGTGAGGTCACTGCTTGGTGTTCCCTCCTACCTCCCCATATATGTGGAAGGTACAGGTCTCCTCATCCAGGTCGATGTTAGTGACTCCAGGAACTTTACGCGCTTGCTGAATGTTGGCTCCATGAGTCCCGATGGCCAGACCCATTAGATCATCCCGAACCGCAAACTGTTCATGAAACCGAGACGCCAGCTGTCTGGAGCTCTAATGTGACAGAAACAAAAGATAAGGAGAACTTTATCCGTTTCTAGTTTAGGTCGGAGCCACAACCTTTGGTGTATTTTATTAGAATTTCATGATAAACCACCAAGAGCATGAATATCAGGTAGAACATGAAGGTTATCAGAAACATGGATAAATTTAACACTGAAGTATCGCCCCCTATATTAGAACCTCCTTTCAATAAAACTAAAGTTCTTTATGGGACGTCATCATCTACAGCAGGGGTAACCATTTTAAAATCAGCAGGGTCTGGATAAAAGAAATCATCAACATGTAAAGGTCTGGAGACATTTTTTATTATAATCTGTTACTTTAAAAAGAATTTAACATTGAAATAAATGAAGTTCAAAAAAAAAAAGAAAGAAAGAAAATGTTTCCATTTTAATATCTAGAGTGTTTTTTTTTAGGTAGGGAACAACAATCGTTCAGTTTGGTATAAAGACAATTTCCTGATTCATATATTTTATAAAACACCTGAACTGTTTTTCTTTCTTTTTTCTGTCTTAATGTTGGCAGTGGGCTTTATGCTGCCCTGCAAGGCTTTAAACCTGGGTTTGAATGGAGACTAAGCCATTCTAAAGCACATATCAAGGAGCTCATTTTGAGCCTGGATCCATATTTATTTTTGATTCTGTTCATGGTGGAGAATCCTGCTTCACAGCAGCAGGTTGAGCCAAACATCCTGTCATTACTGCACAACATTCAGTAATTTATAAATGTTTTAAATCAGGCTGGGTCCAGATTAGCCAGCAGGTGGATCCGGATCCGGATCTGGCTCAGAGCTCGTCTGCCTGGCTGTGTGTTTCCTGGACAGGGCCGCCTTTTACAGCTGCTTTCTGTATCTCTGCTTCTGTCTCCTTGAACCCCAGTCGGCCTCAGCAGATGGCCGCTCACACTGAGCCTGGTTCTGCTGGAGGTTTCTTCCTGTTAAAACTGAGTTTTTCCTCTTCACTGTCTCTACAAGCATGCTTAGTGTGAGGGATTGCTGAAGAGTCAATGAGTCGATGCAATCAACTGGTTTTCCTTAGATAGAAAACTTTGAATCAATTTGACTGTATGATCTGGTGAACTGTAAAGAGCCTTGAGATGACATGGGTGGGGAATTGGTGCTATATAAATAAACTGAACTAAATGAATCTCAACATTTTCTGGGGGAGGATACCCCCTGACCCCTCTACACCACACAAACCCTAACTCTAAGATTTGATAGACCAAGGTTTACACCCTATGAAATATTTCTAGCTAAAAGCCTGATGGGTGACGACATCAAATACTGACAAGCTGCTTTTAATCATTATCATTACTAAATACTCAAGAAATGAATATNCTGGATCCATATTTATTTTTGATTCTGTTCATGGTGGAGAATCCTGCTTCACAGCAGCAGGTTGAGCCAAACATCCTGTCATTACTGCACAACATTCAGTAATTTATAAATGTTTTAAATCAGGCTGGGTCCAGATTAGCCAGCAGGTGGATCCGGATCCGGATCTGGCTCAGAGCTCGTCTGCCTGGCTGTGTGTTTCCTGGATGGAGCCGCCTTTTAAGGCTGCTTTCTGTATCTCTGCTTCTGTCTCCTTGAACCCCAGTCGGCCTCAGCAGATGGCCGCTCACACTGAGCCTGGTTCTGCTGAAAGTTTCTAACTGTTAAAACTGAGTTTTTCCTCTTCACTGTCTCTACAAGCATGCTTAGTGTGAGGGATTGTATTTGAGTCAATGAGTCGATGCAATCAACTGGTTTTCCTTAGATAGAAAACTTTGAATCAATTTGACTGTATGATCTGGTGAACTGTAAAGAGCCTTGAGATGACATGGGTGGGGAATTGGTGCTATATAAATAAACTGAACTAAATGAATCTCAACATTTTCTGGGGGAGGATACCCCCTGACCCCTCTACACCACACAAACCCTAACTCTAAGATTTGATAGACCAAGGTTTACACCCTATGAAATATTTCTAGCTAAAAGCCTGATGGGTGACGACACCAAATACTGACAAGCTGCTTTTAATCATTATCATTACTAAATACTCAAGAAATGAATATATAATATGCGCAATTACAAGTAAACACAATAAAATATATACACAAGTGGTGCGGGCGGGGCCTGCGGCTTTGCACAACTGCAGCAATGATGCTCTTTTAATGGGTAGAAAACACTCTGACCACCAGCAGTTTGGGAATCATTCCTGTCTGCCGTTGGAGGTGGGGCTAATGTGTTCTCCTTCGTTGTACAGTAATGCTTTTTCATTTAATGGATGCCTTCTCCAATAGATTTAGATGACTGTGACGAGAATCGATAACAGAATCAATAAGGGAATCGGAATCTTGAATATCTTATCAATTCTCAACCCTAATCACCAGTCCACCACCTTTTCTCCTGAATTAACTAGATTAAACTAAACATCACTTTTTAAAATCGGCCCAAAGTTAATGCTGATATAGAATGCATCCTGCAGACAATTCCCCAGTATAATTCACCCATATATAAGGGACTGTTTGTTTGTTTTATTTTAATTATACCTGCAGGACCAGCAGGTCACATAGACCTAAAGGATTCTTTCACAGAAGGGATGCTGAGGTAAAGTGAGATCAGATGTCTACTTCACAGAGTCCTTCCACCTCATAGTTATGCTCAAATGTGCTGGTTGATCAAATAAAATCTAAATAAAACAAAAAGATCTGTTTGCCACAGAGCTCTGTGTGTTGGGCGTCATACCTCCAGCTGCCTGTTGGCCTCCTCGTTGCGCATCATGAGCGACAGTTTGGTGCGGAGGCTGCGGAAGTGCATGTCGCTCATCATACCGGCCCTCTTCGTCGTGACCTCGTTCACCGACTGCAACGGCAATCAAATGGATTTAACTCCACAGGATGAGATGTAAAAGCATCAATGAACATCAAAATCAGCTGACGTACCAAGATGACCAGCTGCTTCTTCTCAGAGTCGAAGGTGACGCTGAACGCTCTGATGGCCTTCTTAAAGTCTTTGTGCGCCGACTCCTTGGAGCACCTGGGAAAAACGGAGGAACAAACTCAGTTTTCCTCACAGACCAGCAAGAGAATTTCTGCTGACAACTACAGACACTAAAAGGTTGATGATCCTTACATCTGTCGCAGGTCTTCAGGAACATCCAGCCTGATCTTAATGAAGGTGCTTTTGGTGGCCGGTTTATTAGGGTTCACTGGCCGTAGCCGCTCCAGCGTCACGATCTCGTTCAACGTGGCGTCGCATGCAGCATACTCGATCACATAAAACTGAAACGGAAGAAGCAGAATTATAAAAAAAAACAACAAAAAACACAGCAGGAAGTCTAAAAATAGGGCTGATGGGACGAAGCATCTTCAAGCCCGCTGCATATTTAGATTGAGAAAGGAAGGAAAAATGAACGACAGGCGATTGGTTTAAAATGTGTGTATTGTGGACTCCGCTGTTCATCTACATCTCAAAGCTGGAGGAGAAACTCCTTCACTTCGGCTGTATCACAGACAAGTTGGACAGAGAAAAACGAGGGTTAAACATAGACTATAACAAACTATATTAACCTCTGTTAATCTGTGTCCGTATTTGCCAGACAGCAGACATACTGAGCTCATCTTTAGGCTACTCATGCTAACGAGAACAAACCATCCAGAGTAAAGGGCTGGTTATATCCTGCAGCAGTGTGTCACAGTGAGCTTGTCGCAGATATTTTTGATTTATGTCCAGTATTGAAGCGTCGTCTGCGCTATGTTATTCCACGCCACAACACAAGAGGGACAATCAGGAACTAGCTGTGGGTTCAGATACCGCCGAGGTGGGTGGGTGCAAGGTGATGCAACAACGGATGGACATGAGGATGAAAGAGTGGGGATCCAGGTGGAAAAAGGGTCCCAGTGATCTCCCGCACCTCACTCTTCTAGCTGGTCCATCTTCAAGAGTCGTTTTCCACAATGGCGGTCATACAAACAAAACAAGCCGGTAAGGTACCAAACAGGAAATACGCATAGTTTAGACCGGATGTAGATTTGACCAATCAGAGACCTCCTGTCTGCGGCCACCAACAATTTTGGAGAGGTGCAGCAGAGTGTCTGCGGAAGGGGCGGGGCTGTATCTGGGTTCACTGCGACATCTATGCAGACAACCTGGTTTCTGAGTATAAATCTGCCTTAAGACTGTGCTCAAACAAACAGTGACACACAAGGACTTATAGACGTGTTTTACTGTATTTGTTTGTATTTTGTTTAGGACTTAAACATCAGCTAGTAAATTATTGTTATAAACAGAACATTTGTAAAACAGTATGACAGAGGGTTAGAGCCACAATATGACTTCATTTTCTTATTACAAAACTGAAGTTGTTAAAGAATAAAGCCACAATATTGTAAGAATAAAGTCTTAATCATCTCTCTCTGTGACGGAGGTTTTCAACAGGGGATCCGCGACCCCTAGGGGGTCCACGGAGGTACTGCATGGGGGGGTCCCGTAAGTTTTGGTTGATTAGACTTTTTTCTATATTCCCCCTTGCAATTTTTTTCTACTAATTGAAATGTATTTAAATCCACATTAATCTGAATTTAACACACTGTAGTAAACAGATAAATGGAGGCAGAACATGTCTTTCAATCCTCAATGCACACATTCAAAGTACACTTAATTTTACTTTTAAAATATTACATTAATGTTACCATTTTATTTTGGTAACAAAACAAACTTCATTCTGTTACAACTAATATTGCAATGTTTCCATTTCTTAAATATTGCTACGATTCCTCTGCATTTATTCCGGTAATAATCTTTAAAATGGATTTTTTTTTTCTTTTTGTAATAAGATAACTTTATTCCCATAATTTTCAACTTTAAACTCAGAGACCAATAACTTTGACTCTATTCTCATATCATTATGACTTTATTGTTGTAATTAAAACAAATCTCTTGCTACGGCCATAAAGACCAACCTTTCCCTGCAATGTCTGCGTGTTATGGCATGGACGGTGTCTGGGAAGCAGAGTTATAAATATCATACCCTCAATAATCTGAGCTTTAACTGGGCTGCTCTGAAACACAGACATGCTTTTATCCGTCTGCATTTTTAGGGCCTTGGTTCTGCAGCGAAGTGAATCCTCCTGTCAGCATCACACATGTTTTTTGTTTTTTTTACCAGGAAGGACCTTCATTCAGCTCCATCCTGTTTTCTGACCAGCTTCCCTGTTGATGAGTGTAAATCACACTCATCATGGTGATTCGATTCAGTATCAATTTCCTGACCCAACAACTTGATTATTTTCGATATTCAAGATTACACCATGATACGATTCGATTAAGTGGTTAATTGTCTTCACCTTACAAGCTAGACAATGTTTCAAACTTGAAATAAATCAATGAAAGCTGTAATATCGTTATACATTTTATTTGAGAAACAACAGCAAATAACAGGAGTAGAAAAGTTTTACTCCACCTAGGCCTAAGAAAACCTCATTCTCTGAAAAATAATAATGCGTCTGTGTTATAGATTCTGATCCTGCCTTGCATCAAAGAATACTGCAAGCGGAAAGAGGGTAGTGGCTTAAGGAAGTGAGGTTGGAGGGCAAAATAGGTTAGATAAGATGCTCTTGTGGACGTGTCGACGCATCGGATCGTAGGCTGTTGGATCGATGCATCGATACAAAACTATTATTTTACAGTCCAACTGTTCATGCTGATAAAGAACATCCCTATAAAAAGAGGCCACCACCACAACGTTCCGTCATAATAAAATTAATTAAACTAAAAATAAATTTGTAGTTTTTACTGAAACACATTTTAAGCAGACAGGAAAAATCTGGAAAAAAAAGTAGATCAAAAAACCAATTTTTTAAAAAATATTTCCTTAACTTGATTATATATTTTATTGGAGGATGGGAGGTGTTAGAAACTGATTTTTATTTGAAAAGTGGATCCAGGCATACCTCTCCTTTGACCATGCGAACCTTGGCCAGCCACCATCCACAGGGCTCTTTGTCGTTCGCCCTGGAGTAAACCTAGAACACAAACACACAGTTGCTTTAACGTTTCACTGATTTTACACAACTAATGTTATTATAAAGCATTAAGCACAGGCCTATTTTCTAACTGAAAGGGTCAGAGTCTCATTATACGGTTTTTCAAACGTATGCCAGCAGCTCTCTCTGGCTGCGTACAATTTTTTCAGAAAAGATGGCCGCCTCCTGCTGCGTTTTGGTTATTGTTGTTTCACACTTTGATATTTTCCCCCAACTTGTTAGTAAATAGGGCCTTTCTGTGTATATTTACCATAACAACGTATGGTGGTACGATGCTGTAGATGTTCATAATAGGTGAACAAGCCCCAGCAATGGAGGTCAGCGAATTTGGAAATCCCAGCAGAGCTGAAAACTATTCAACAATAGTCCAAGATGTGTGAAAAAGCTCAAACAATGTTGATTCCAGGAGGGATAAGTCTCCAATAGCGCTTAGAATACAGTATGAATGTTGAGTGGAAACTAAGCTGCATTTTAGACCCGACTGCAGAGATGATGGACGTAAACATCCTTAATAATACTGATAATACTGATAGCAAAGCTATTCTTAGCGTCTGCAGTCCAAATACAAACAATATTACACAGGGAGCAGTTTTCTGTCACCAGGGAGTCGCATTTACCTTGTGCTTAATTTGCATTAATTCCAATGAAAAGGTTTCACGCTTACAACTTTATCTTAATTTATTTCATAAATACATTTCCTACTTTGATACTCGCACTGTGTTTGTCAGGAACAGGAATATTTTTTGTTCCTAAAGTTCTAATAGGTGGTTCTATGGAGGATTCTATAGAGCAGAGGTCACAGATTAGCAGACAGAGGTCCAGATCCAGACCCTCCTGCTGGCTGATCTGGACCCAACCTAATTTAAAACCTATATAAATTACTGCATGTTGTCCGATGACAGTGTTTAACTTCACTTGCGCCGCGCTTCTCCTGTTAATACGGTAAAGCCCTCCGAAGCTTCTGTCACCAGGCTACACGTGATACTAATTAGCCAATGAGCTGCTGTCAGTCTGGGTTGCTGCTGCTGCTACTTTTAGACAGCAGGCAAACCTGTAGCAAGCCGGGCGATGGGAAAGAAGGAGAAGATGATGAGAAAAAGAGAGCAGAGAAAGTGTGGACTGCTGGAAGAACTGTGGTGAACTGGTGAAAGAAAAGTGAAATGATGTGCTCAAAGATGACCCTGAACATTTAGAGGATGTTTGGCTCAACCTGCTGCTGTGAAGCAGGAATTCTCCA